GACATTCAAGTGATAGCAACAAACATGGCAGCAACAGCATCAGAACACATGTTCTCGTCCACCATACACTTGCGGCCAATCTCCTCCTCGTTTCCTCACCGACGCCCCGGGCAATGCCATTCTGCCGTCGTTGTTGTCATCGCCCACCGTGTTGGTTTCTTTCAGTCCAAGTTCCGTGCCTTTCTCCCCGGGGCCGGGTCCATGACCAACGGGAAGATGTGGCCGGAGTGGCTCAACGTGCCTCAGGTAAAATAAACCCAGCGCGAGACGGGAAGAGGGGTGTTCTTCCCCCTTTGGTTGTTGTCTAGCAGAAAATAGGCGTACAGGAAGTCCGGCCACGTCAGGAACGAGCCTAGCTTGAATACGACCAGCACGAGCAAGCACTAGCTTTTTGGACTCATGGGGGGGCAGTCGCGCGCCCGCCTTTGGAAAACAACTGTTCTCAACATCTCTCCCGCCCCCTGGTTGGCCATCGGTGATCGATCATCCTGGGGAAACAATGCACCGCACTCTCGAGGACGCGCTGTCAATTGTCTAACCGCTAAGGCATGCACGACTATGAGTACACCCCCCCCACGCAACAGCGCCTTGACATGGCATGTATTGTTCGAGGGTGTGTGAGATGAGTATATATATTTTTTTGGTCATAGGCCGTGGTCGAACGAACGAAAGCTCTAGTTCAGAAATGCGTTTGGAAGATTGGCTGTTACATGTTCAATGGGCGCTGTTTCTCTATTTCGGCCTCGGCATTGCGTATGTGCCTGGTGCCACGTCAAGCCCAGAGCGGGAGACTGCTTGTTTCGTGCGTAAATATGCTGCGTCCTCCCCCACTTGGGGCGACTCGGTCTTGTCTTTTCACATCCCCAGGGAGAACACACCGGGCCGAAAAAAGGAGCTGTTGTGTTACGAGTTAGCAGAGAGGTGTCCGTGATTGCCCCCCCACCAGAGAATGAAACGAAGAAACGTGTGTCGGTACTCCGTCACGTGGGCTGGCCCTTGTCTTGCCGCGGGGTGCTTGCTTGCATGCTTGCAGGAGCTTAACTTCGCCACCGCCACCGCCTCCGCCACCGAGACCTTCCGCACCCGGGAGAATTGCGAGGGCTACACCGGCGAGGGGGAAGACCTCCCCACGGGGGTGAGGCGGGAGGAAGCGAGAAAGACGTTCTCGCGTTGCGTTGGGTGCAACAGCCGTGTCGTGCTGTAGGCGCAACAAGAAATTCATTTTCCTGTGGATGGGTAGTGAGCGAACAGTTGTCACTTGTGTGTTTTTTGGGATTCATTCGCGCCTCTGTCGTCCCCTCTTGCGATGTCTATCGAAGCACCATCGAAAGTGTTACTGTATGTGTAGGTCAATGTCAATGTGAAGCACAGAACGATGTTCCACAAGAAAAACGTTTTTTCCACGTCCGCCAGGCTGTGAAGTTTTGGGCCACAGTTGTTCATTCGTCGAGGCTTCATTTTTTTGCGGTTGGTTCCGCATTTTCATGTTGTTCTCCGCCGTGCACGGAACAGCCTATCCGACGTATATCGTGCCCCCCAAGCTGTTCGCTGCTGGTGACCTCTAGCTTGTTCGAAGGGACAGCTCCCCTGCTCCGTGTTGCCGTTGAGACTGCTGCGGTTCAAGCTCAACCAGGGGACTATTGCATAGATCGCTCGCCATTTGCTCTCTCTTTTCAGATCAGGCCACTTGAATTCCATCATCATCGTTGTTCCTGTCCCCAAACACGCACACGCACGCGCACACCAGACCCTGGACGAGCAGATCACCCGATACTTCAACGACGCCGATTTGCATGAGACTGCTGGTGAGCGATAGGCACGTGGTATGATACTACAACGGAATCGACAACCGACTGAGGGTCCATGTTGATTTTGGGTTGACACCGAGACTCTTTTGGTGCCAATAAACAAGGAAATAAGTGTCTCAATGGCATGGTAGTTGGTGGTGGTCGACCTCGACGCACAGCTTGCGTCTTAGCCCCACGGAAAAGGGAGGTAGGCGGCAAGGCCAACTGCTACTGGTCTCGGAGAGTCTAAATGTGTTCGGAGGCGTTTTAAGTGCCATGGCGGCAACGACACTGGCACGGGCGGGCGGCGGTTTGGTCTCTTCCCGCAGGGGTCGGGCCGCCTCCGGAACACACACCTGAGCATCAGCCGGGGCTCTCCGGCGTGTTCGAGTGTTGGCTGAGTTCATTCCCCCGCGAAAATGCCGTTTGTCCTTGTAGTTTATTTTGCACATACACACATGTACCAACTCCTGCGCCCCCCCCCTGGGGGTAGACCTCTTACCGTTTGGTTAAAAAGTGTTAATTGTTTTTTTCCCGCCGCCAGACGGACGTATTTTCATTGGTCTGCCGGTTAGCGCGGTCGATGCTACTGAAGAAAACACACTCATACACACGATGTGACTGACGACACCGATTGTCCACATCTGACGCAGAACGTACATACGTGCTCTGGTACTACCCCACAGTGATAGTAACACCTGCCACTGAGCGGATTCCGTGCGCAACGGACAATGGTTCAATCTACTGGACGTGGCTCGATTGAGGAAGCTTGCAGTTTCTTCAACGAACTCAACGGACTGGAAACGCCCTCGTACCAGAGACAACGGTTCGGTCTACTTTGCGTAGCTTAGCATGAAGTTTTGCGTCGATGGGCCTCGCCCCATTTTTCCTTCGACGAACTGACAAAAACGTGTACCGCCGTAATTTACCGAAAAATCGACGAACGATCGTGTGCTACAATTTGCAGACTACACGCACATCATCTACATCGGGAACGAGGATCTCAACTCGCACAGCGCAGCCACGGCCCGCTACTCCATCGGGGGCGAGGGCTACGTCGACCCTTACGTCCCGTTCGACATGCTGTTCGACGTCGCAGACGACGGCACGGTCACTTCCACCCACGTGCACATCATCGCGGTGAGAGTTCCGACGACAGGAGGGGTAGGATTTCCGAGCGATTGCTGAGGCAGGGGGGTCGCAGCGAGCGTTTCGAAGAGGGGGGGATAGGAGCTCCGAGGGTAGGAGGGTCAGCTCATCGGGTACTGGAGGGAGACACACTCTACGTAAGACGTGCTGTTGATTGGCGTCCTGGTTCGACGTTAGATCACCGAAGCAGAGGACTCTACTGTAGCTACATGTTCCCAGAAGTGTAAGGTTTCACTCTCAAAATTGGACACCCGAAGGATCAGTCTTCCTCTGTTCTGACGGTCACGCGCGGGCTGGATTTCACCGGCGTGTAGATAATTGAAAACCATTGCCCTGTCTGGGGGCTCGACGATACCTCTCTTTCTCTTACTCCACCCATGCCTAGCGTGTTTTCCGCGCTCTTTCTTCCGTTCTACAGAGTACCCGGCAAGACGAAACACTTTGTGTCTCGCTTGACGTCGACCAAGGGCTAGTGCGCACTCGTTGTTTTGGTTTTATACCGCCGTGGTAGTACTGGCGCCTTCTCTGTCGTGTCTCCGTGCGAATAAACTGTGCCGGGTGTTCCATGAAACGATTTTTGGTATTCCGCTGGTGGTCGATCCATCAGTCGGTCTCGTGATCGTCGTTACGCCACACGGCACCTACCTTGCCGCGTTTGGCTTAGGGCTCGTTGCTTAACATTTTTTCGAGCGACCTATCCCAAACCACTAGTTACGCGGACCGTGTTTCCTCCGACAGGTGTCACCCATGACACAAATAGCAAGGAGAAGCTGAATGAGTATTACCGAAGCGCTTTTCCGCCATCAAGACAGAGAATCAAGCACACTCGTGTTCCGACTAATCCGTGGGCAACGTTGTTTGTAGGACTTGCTCTCTTGCTCACTTAGCCACTCGCTGGGTGATAGCTGGTAGGTAGAGAAGAGACCATCAGCAACCTCCACCCCATTTTCTTACCTCATGCCATTATTCGTATCTTGTCGAACCCCACGGTAGTCTCCCACATGTACGTACCGATTGCCCCGGTTTTCGTGACCTTCCGTTGGAACCTGGCGCCACAAACGAAATTGATTTTCGATTTTTTGTGTTTGGTTTTCTTGTCCAGGAGCTTGCCGAGTCCTGGAGGTCCGGAATCGCGAGGCTGATCGACGCAGGCGTGACCGGAACGATCCTTCTCGGCAACATTGGAAACCCCGAAGGCTTGTCTGTGAGTCAAGTCTCAAAAGATGTGCACCAAGGGTACTGCTCTACCACAACAGCCGTAGTAGTGATGGTATAGTCACAACGGATACAAAGGAGTATGCGGGAGCGGCATGGTAACAACAACGTTTTAGAGAGCGTTTTCGCCTTGATGTCTCCAATACGGCGTTTGGTATTATAGTCGCGGTCACGGATGCCCACGCGAAATGTACGGTAGGCCAGTAGGGCAGGCCTCCTCCCTGGTTGTGTTCTGACCCACCCGTTTTTTTTCTTTCCACCCGGAAGGAAGTCAACAGGTGGAAACGGACGGGAGCGGAAAAAAAATAAGCCTCCTTGTAACCATTGTCGAAGTGTATGGCCCTAGCCCCCTCGGACCCCAAACAACCGGTCAAGCGCAGCGAAGCTCTCATCTGTAGGCGAACTGCTGTGAAGGCGTTCTCACCTGCGTTGTAGGACCAAGACGCTTGGCCCCACTGTCGAGTAGCTCGCATCGATACTACAAGCAGCTTGACCTCGTTTTGACATGTTTGGGCGGCCTGCTTTTTGCTTTTTTTGTCCGGGTTTTGTCCGGGTAGAGTTACATCGGCACCCCTCTAGGCGAGATCGTACGGTCGATCGCCCTGACCATACGCGCAGAGGCCCAGGCCGTCGCCGACGAGTTCCCCGACCAAGTGCGGATCCTGGACAACTACACCCTCTTCTCGGTGAGGGCGGTGGTGAACGCTTGTGTTTGGTGGAGGGAGGGTTTTAGTAGCGCCATGGTCGTTTGCATCTCTTCTTGGTGAGAGCGGTGACAGTCTTGTGTGGGGCATAATAGCGCCATGGTCGTTTATGTTTACATCATCTTCTTGGTGAGGCTTGTGTGGCATAGTAGCGCCCCGGTCGTTTGCATCATCTTCTCGGTGAGAGCGGTGATATTCTCGTGTGTGTTGGGGAGGGGAGGGCATTGTAACGCCACGCTCCGTTCGTTCGTCAGCCATCAGAGAGCATCATATTAGTACAGGCGGCGCACGGGATCGTCTCCACCTTTGGAGGGGCCACTTCGTTGTCGACCGAAATAAAATAGACATTGTGTGGTTTTCGTGAAGTGGTCGAGAGGCGAGGTGTACGAATGCTCGAGGGCACGTGGTGATCACGCCTATGTGATGAAGGCAGGCCGCGTGTTGTTGGGTACGTAGGCCTTTGCCGTTTTTTTTCGCAGCACGCCCGCCGCCTCCGACCCATCTCATCTGTCGTCTGTCGTTCGATCAATCCGCCGTCCTGCTTTCACACATCAATTTAGGCTATCGTGGACACGCCCGAGATCTTCGAGAACCTAGGCTTCGTCGCCCCCGAGGGGTCCTTCCTGTCTGACCCTTGCCTCGACCTCGACTTTGCCGTTGACTACCTCGGGGAGGTTGCCGGCACCCAAGTGAGTGTCAACGACAAGAGGGCTCTCAGAGCTCAAATTTGACAACACTGCTGTTGTTGTGTACCACTGCGCTCGGCTGTTTGCGTATGGCAGGCCCGCCATTTTTCTTATTGTCACCCTTGTGTTCGATGGAAGCTTATCACGAAGCTGCAACGTCCTCGACAGTGTTGATTTTGACGAAAAATATTGCCGTCGCGTCATTGTCGTCACTCGCGTCCCCTCCTCTTGCTGATGAGGCTTGGTACGATAAGTTCTTGGCTTTCTCACGTCCGCCTGTTGATGATAAGGCTCGATACGATGCGTTCTTGTCTTCTGTGGTCCTCCTGCTGACGATAAGGCTTGATACGATTTCTCGCCCGTCCTCGTGTTAATGAGGCTTGATACGACACGTTCTTGTCCTTCTCACGTCCGCCTGTTGATGATAAGGCTTGATACGATGCGTTCTTGTCTTCTTTGGTCCTCCTGCTGACGGTAAGGCTTGATACGATTTCTCACACGTTCTCGTGTTGACGATGCTTGATACGATACCTTATTGTCCTTCTCACGTCCGCCTGTTGATGATGAGGCTTGATACGATGCGTTCTTGTCTTCTTTGGTCCTCCTGCTGACGATAAGGCTTGATACGATTTCTCGCCCGTCCTCGTGTTAACGAGGCTTGATACGACACGTTCTTGTCCTTCTCACGTCCGCCTGCTGAGAATGAGGCGTGACACGATACGCTCTCGACTTCTCACGTCCCCTCCTCTCGATGTTATCTGTGATGTCATTTTCAGGCCCTTCGTCCTGTTGGATGCCAGGAGGAATGCGCCCTTTGCGCCGACAACACCTCTCCCTGCGGGACCTGCTTCGAGGGCAACCCTTCCGGCCAGGTCTGCAGCGACCCGGACTCCCGGCTCTTCTGGGGGTCCCGGTACTTCTCGACCGCGTTCCACCACATCCTGGGAGAGGCCATCAGGCAGTGCTCCAAGGACAGCCCCAACTACGACCGCCCCGTCGTGCTCGAGCTGTGCGGCTCTTCTCGTTGAAATGACCCAACCACGCACATGCCGTTTTGAGAACGTTGGGCCGGGGGGTTGAGAAGAAAAGCGCGAAAAAGGACCCGCGGCGCAGCACGATTTTTTGTGGAGGACCGGGGCGCAAGAGGGTGGAGCCAATAATCCGTCGGGTTCAGACCGCGTGAGCCAGGGTTCATGGTCCCCGACGCGGTGGGAGATGGAGCAGGCAGCAAGGGGCCCCACCTGCGTTGGTTTTAGCTTATAGAGGTTCGTGAAGTCGGGGGGCAAGGGCCCCTAGAAGAGGCTGGTAGGCTGCAGGCGGGAGACCTACAGGGTGAGGAGCTGCTGGAGAGAGGAGGTGAAGCGATTGAGGGAAAGAAACCTTCATGTGAACGCGGTAGACTATACCTATGTGGTTGTATCAACGAGCCTGTAACCTACTTTTAAGGAGCCTGTAAACTGCTTAATGGCGTGTTGTGATATATTTTCGTCTCGTGCTTATTGACTGCTTTGCCTTTGGGGCCCTTGCTTGTCAACGAGCAGCAGATTTGACGTGATGGTTGACCTCGAGTTTGCTTACCCGTATCCTCGCACTGCTGTTGTATACATGTCCCGTATCGCGTCATCGGCAATGCTATGAATGTGTGGTCCACCAACGGGGTAGCATCCCGGGGTCCGTCCGTGTTAGACTGACGCGTGTCACGCATCTCACTGTACGGGGGGGTGGGTTCCTTGGTCACCAAACCATCCCGTCGAGGTGTTCCTCTTTGCCGTGTACGAGGGCGCGTGGTTGTACTGTCAGTTGTGGAAGAAGGGGCGTGTTCCTGTCTTGTGCGATTGGTGCAGCTACATCGTCTTGCTGTCCTCTGCAATCGGTTTTGTTGGGTGCTTAGTCTTGCCGCCCTTCTCGGACTTCCGGGGCGTCGGAAAGTGAAAGGGCTCCGACGAAAATAGCCACACTCACTCCCCGATTTCACGGAGTGTTGGGCCTGCTTCGTTGTGTTGTGTTTGCTGCGTAGACACCTCCGGTCGCAGTTTTCGTTTGTGATTCAGCGTCCGCGGTTGGTTGTGGGGTAATAGGCTCTTCCACCTGTTGCATGCTCTTCCCTCTTGTTGTTCTTGGGCGACGTGTAAACGTCACGATTTTTGGATGTTAAAATTGAGTCTTTCGGGTTCATTTTACTTCACTTCGCCATCGTGTTTTGGGTTGTCGAAGTTCATAGGACTAGTGCAGCTCGTGACGGCGGAAACTCCTACGTCTGTCTTCGGCTTGGAGAGGAATAACTGTTCGGAACAGGTTTTTCCGATGATGTGCAGCCTTTCTGCAAGCGTTTCCCAAATAGGCCAACCTGATCAGAAGGTTGAATGACACCGCTGTTTGAGTGGTAATGCAGTAATGATATGCATATGTTGATCAACCTCATGTCACTATCTCCATGTGGCCAGAGATCGTGTGGGGGTTGTTACCGAACCAACCTGTACCGGTCATCCTCCGGCCGGTTACAGCGTCTTGGCGTCTCGGTCATGCTAAAAGCAGGAGACCTACCCTGGAACGCCGTGAGACGCAGTTGTTGTGATGTGCGGTACCTTCCGTCATCTTCATGCAATATCTCATCAACTCGCAATACTACTCGAGTAATATGGCGGGCCTGTTCGGACAACGCGGGACTTGCGTCAAGTGAAACGGACAGTAGGAGTCGCCTCAAGGACACGGATTTGAATACACAGTCTTATGTCATTTCGTCCGGTATTAGACGCGAGTTTAGTACCACACGGACATCACGTATACTTACGACGATCCTGCTTATAGCAGACGCAATGATTTTGAAGTAAACGCAGACTACGGGGCCCGCAGATAGATCATGTGGGGAAACTCCCGGCAGACCACCAACGAACAAGATTACCACGCGAAGGGCAGTGAGCGGATGAAAACGAACGAGAAGTGTTGGAAGAGCGATGCCCCCCCTCCCACCCCCACCCGTAGAAGCAGGCAACGCGGGCTGCGGTGTCCTAGCAAAGGGTACTCGTCAACGAATAATCCCGAACACATACATACCCCCCGGTGTTTGCCATCGACGCTGTAAAACAAGCCGAACACTTCGTGAACTCGGCAACCAGGGTACGGCTTTTTTTTTTCCTATGGTATTATTTTTTGCGGTAACCACAATGAATGGTGGTCGAGTAGCGTATGTTGGGCGGGGTCGAGAACCCTCACTCCGCGCAAAGGGGATGATCGCCCCACGTTGTGTTGTAACTTGGTCAAGCATCCTCAAGGCAGTTACGCAGTGCTGACAACTGCTGTCTCTGCAAGTGAAAGCACCACAAAATATATAAAGTCTTTCGCAGCTGTCATCCTTGCAAGGAAGTACGCACAAGATGCCGAACACCCCTACTTAGCAGAATGCAGCGCACCCTTCATGCGACTCGCCGAATATCTTGCGGCGCTTCGCGCTTGGTGATGTGAGAGCCTGGTCCCGGTGAGAACCCGGCGTGCTCCGTCCCGGCTTTGTAGGGATGCGAGGTCAAACGACTGCGTCATGCACGACTATGAATACCCCCCCGCCCCCCCCGGTGTTTGCCATCGGGATAGGGTTTTCGCAGCTTGGCAACGACGTTGTAGAACAAGCCGCCCCCCCGGTGTTTGCCATCGGGATAGGGTTTTCGTCGCTTGGCAACGACGTTGTAAAACAAGCCATTTCACTTCGTCAACTAGGCCACCAGGTTACCGTTTTTTTTTTTTCTTCGGCGGTAACCATAATGAATGGTGGTCGAGTACATCATGTTGTGCAGGGTGGAGAACCCTCACTCCGCGCAAGGGGGATGGTCGCACCACGTTGTGTTAAAATGGTCAAGAGTCCTCGAGGCAGTTACACAGTGCTTACAACTGTCTCTGGAAGTGAAAGCACCACAAATATACGCAGCTGTCATCCGGACGCAAGGAAGTAAGCACAATATGCCGAACACCCCTACTTAGCAGAATGCAGCTCACCCTTCATGCGACTCGCCGAATCCCTCACGGCGATTCCGCTTGGTGATATGAGAGCCTGGTCCGGTGAGAACCCGACGTGCTCCGTCCCGGCTTTGTAGGGATGCGAGGTCAATGGTCTACCGACCACGGCATGCACGACTATGAGTACCCCCCCCCCCCCCCCCCACCCTCCAGAAAATAGATAAAGTCATACGCAGCTGTCATCCGTACGCAAGGAAGTAAGCACAAGATGCCGAACACCCCTGCTTGGCAGGATGCAGCTCACCTTTCATGCAACTCGCCGAATACCTCTCGGAGCTTCGCGCTTGGTGATGCGAGAGCCTGGTCCGGTGAGAACCCGGCGTGCTCCGTCCCGGCTTTGTAGGGATGCGAGGTCAATGGTCTAACGACTATACGGCATGCACGACCATGAGTACCCCCTCCCTTGGAATATGATGTGTGATGTAGGTATTTGGACCCTCAGACTGCCACGAAAATCATCCAAAATATATATGACCCATTCCGTGAGCACCTGGCGACACAGAGCAGTTGCTCTATACGATACTTGACCGAAGGGCTTGCATGTCGACACATGTACGCTCGAATCCGAGCGCGCACCAACAGCAGATAGATGATAGTACTTCCGTACCTACAGAGCAGACAGGGAACGTGCTCTCTCTCTCTCTCTCTCTCTCTCTCTCTCTCTCTCTCTCTCTCTCTCTCTCTCTCTCTCCTTCCTGTGTAGATAGATGAATCCCAGGTGCAGGTTGATTCCAATTGCTGAGAACGGGGGGGGGGGGGGGGTCTTGTGGTCGGTCTCTTAGCTTTCTGCAGACCCCATCACGCCACATCAGGTAAATAGCGACCTCACACATATTGCTCAACCCCCTGAGGATCACTTATCGCTCGGCCCCCTGAGGATCTCGCACAGGATATCAAGACCCTGCTTGTAGCAACGTGCTTCGAGCTGCGAGCATCTGAGCTGCTGGTGGCTGTATCGCTGCCGTGCGGTTTGGATCTTGCTTGGATCTTGTCGCGCGCTTGCTCCGGTTCCCAAGCTACCGCGCGTAGATCTGCACCATCAAAACAACAACAACAACAGAGGTGAGGCGTGCGTTCGCGAGACAAGAGGAGTATACAGCAGTAGTATAGCCCCCTACCCCGTGAATAATTTATGAAAGGTTCGGGGCTTAGACCCACCATAGTTGGCGGCGGTAGGGGAGAGAGAGTGTTTCTTGGTTCGCGAAGCCCATGTCGTCGTCTCGATTCAACGGATTTTGCTTTTAGCTCCTGCCCCCCCGTCAACCATGAACGGACACTGCACAGCACACATTTTGGGCGCAAAAAGAAAACTAAGCTCTTGGCGGGTTTGGCAGCACCTGGCAGTAGCCTCCGGCGCAGCGCAATAGAATGAGAGTAGATTGGCCCGCGTCACATGTACACACACCCACAAGCCATGCCCCGATCAAGGCGGTCAACCACTTGGAGGTGCGTGAGAAGATCGATCCGGTGAGAGAGCTGGTGAAAAATATCCCGCAAAAACTTGATAAAACGATAAAACAAACGTGTGTCGGAAAAACAATAGAACGGGTCAAAGGACGACACAGAGAACCGAAAGCTGCAAGAAAAGAACACAGGCCGGCCAGCTTGCGCCACACAGCACCCATCCGAACCGCATCACCGCATCAACCGTGGTGATAGCATAGCCAGGACGACACCTGCAATTGCTCGCTGGCGCAGGGGAGTGGTGACGGGGTCAATACACACTCAGGATCCGGCTCTGTCGTGCCAGCAATACACCCATCATTGCTACCTCAAAACAAGCTTTGCTTGCCATTTGCTGCTGCTCTCACACTCATCATCATGGGGAATCTGCAGGAGGAGCGTGGACACCATGAGGGCGTGGACGCTGGTGCTGGCGTGTGTGCTGCCCCTGGTGCTCGCACACGGCACGGAAGACAACCCCACCATCACCCCTGAAGGAGATTGCTGTGCTGCTCTCCTCGTCGAGGGCGAGGAGGGCTCCCTCGACGCCGCCGGCAAATACCGTCTGCCGGCCATTTGGTAAGTGGCAAAAATCAAAAATCCATCCCTTCTCCCAGCAGACCTGCTGCATGATGAGTATACTTTTACTTTCTGCTGCTGCAGAGAGCGCTGCTGCGCTCCAATTTCACCAGCACACATGTCTGGTGCATGACATCGACAGTATCTTCTACACACTGAATGCCCTCTCTGCCGTCGTTTCCTGCGCATGGATGTCTGTCGTGTCACATGTATGTACAGCCGTGGAGTACCTTCCCCCGTGACCTGCACACCACTGGGGTTCACCAACGACCACAACATGGTCGAGGAGCCAGCTTGGCTTCTTGCCTACAGGAGCCAGGCCGACATTCGGCAACACCCCTCCTGCTCGCCCGTGGAATGGGAACAGAGGTGCCCCCCCGGGGCGACGATGCTGCTCTCAAAGAAGAGGGGCGGGTGCCCCGCGGCCGGCTGCGTCGCTGCTACCGCCCAGGAGTCGGTCAACGTGGTGAGCCAAAGAGCTGTTGCAAGCAAATCAGTTCTACTTCCAAGTAGTTCAAGTCGTGGGAGATTTTTTTCCCTGCGCTTGTTTTTACAGCAGGATTTTCTACAGCAGTAGATTTTCTAATTACAGTGGGGGGCCCTCTATAGTGCCGGTACGTGCGCAGGGCGTTCACCGGCACTATAGCGGGCACCGGCACAACTGGGAATAGTGCCTCAATAGTGCCAAACGGCACTATTTGGGTGATCGATATCCCTCAGTAGTGCCGGTCTGGCACTACTGAGGCACTGCTGTTTGAGTTCATGGTGTATCGCTTACCATTTGCGAGGCCAACAGAGTAGCATGTGGATCGAGTGTGGTGAATATACTTTGTGGGCGGCAGGGGCAGCCTTTTCTGAGACAAAGGTGGGTTCCACTCTGATAGCTGAGTTTGCCGCGAAACCATTCCCGCATGCACGCGCAGAATTCACCTTCGGAGCCAAACCCCGTGTACAGCTCCCGTCCGTGCAACTTAGTATACTTGAAAAAATATCACGTTCCTCGCTGCCTCCCTACGATGTTGCGTGATGAGACACGCCAACACAACCAATAAACGCGCCAGCAACGAAGCGGACAAAAATAAAACAAAACAAAAAGAAAAAAACTGCGGTATAGCTGTCCCCCCCTCACTCATCAACAAACTCTCTCATGTCTGTCTGGCGCACGCCCTTAGCGGCATGCGGCGCGATCATCGCCATCTTCGCTTTCGATAGGTGGAACGCAGCGTCCCCGTTTCCACTCTCCCGCGCGGCCACCTCCAGGACGCCGAAGTGAGAAGACAGTTCACCGTAAGCCGGTGGGGCGCGGCGGCCGCCCCCCGTGTCCTCATGATCACTGTCCGCCTCATCTTCGGATTCCTCCTCGCGGCAGGTAGATAGGCGCGTTCCCGCTAGCTGTGCCGTCATTTCGTCCGCTGCATCCTGTCGAAAAGCCTCCACCACGTCACCGTCATCCTCGATGGTAGCCCACGCCTGAACTAAGTCCACCGCCTCCTCCGGGGCAGGCTCTCCGGGTGAGACGTTGAGTTCTGCGAACATTTCACTCAGGTCCTCGTCTTCGATGCGAGACCCCTGCTGCTGCGCGTCGTGCACGCTCGTGCTCAACGAGTGGACACTCTTCGTGAGGGACCTCAACGCAGGCTCGTGGATGCGGGCCTGGGTTTTCCCGTGGAGGTTGGTGAGCTCAGCCGCCATCTCCTGCGGAAGCGTGTCGGCTTTGACAAAGCACCTGGTCGCGGGGTTGCCGAGAATACGAACCGCATCCGTTTTTGAGTGCAACGCAGATATTAGACGGACCCAGCGGCAGAAGTTGACTCATCCGCATGCAAAAAAAGAGGAAATTTTTATTGCAAACGAGGGATGCCCCTGCAGGAAACTTTCTCAAAAAAAATCCGTACCACCTCTGCCACGAAACGTGCCACCAAAGCTATTGTGCTAGCACCACCGCCCGAGTTGAAGCATCTACATAGCAACAGAACATGTTCAAACCTGACCTGGCGATGTCCTGGGGAGTGACGCTGCCCCATGCTTTTCTGAAGAAGTTCAGCGGCGTCCCGTAGGTGAGGTTGGTGCCCCTGCGCCAGCCCCATCGTCCCGGCCTTCATCTTACTGGCTTTGGCCTGGGCGCGAAGGGTCTCAGCGACCAACATTGTGGATGCCTTCACGTCGAGCAGCTCCTTCCTGTAGAGGACCTTCGTCTTCGCGATGATCCCCATGTCCATGGGCTGGTGCAGGCTGGTGCAGTTCGGAGGATAGAACTTGATGGTAACTTGCCCACGATCATCAACGAGATCGCCGTGAGAGGAGCAGCCGTCCATCAGGATCAGCACCTTTTCGTGAGTGAAGCGCCGAATGAACGGGAGGAAGACTTCAAGCCACCACTTGAGGAACGTCGCGGAGTCAGACCACGCGTTGGCCTGCGAGAAGTACTTCAGAGGTGAAGGCGCGTCCGTGAAGCAGCGAGGCACCTTCGACCTCCCGATGATGGCCATGTCCACCTTTGCAGTGCCGTCGGCGTTGCTGCACATGATGGCAGACATCCGATCCTTGAAGTACATGCTCTTGGAGCCCCGCGCCTTCTTGCGGTCCTCCGAGGAGGAAAGATACGTGCGCCTGGGCATAAGCTTCCACTGGATGCCTGTCTCGTCCACGTTGAAGATGAACCTAGCTGGGTACTTCGCGCAAAGGCTCCTGACTTCCTCCATGCCCTTCTCGATGGCCGCTGGGTCGACACTACCAGCCTCGCCATGAAGTCTCGCACTCAGCACCTTGTTGCGCTTCACGAAGTTCTTGGCCCACTTTTCACCGGCCTTGAAGTCCTCGACCCTCGCCCTCACTGCTGCAGAAGTAGCGGGCTCAGCGAGCAGGGTTGCCACGGTGGAACGGCCGAAGCTTCGAAGTACGTCCCGTGTGACGGGCATCTTGGCCTTCCGGGCTTTATCGAGCAGATCAGTAACTATCTCATCCACCTGCCGGCGAAAAAGAGTATACAATGCAGAGGTTCAAACGACCAACGATTAGTTTCAAACGTAAGCATCTACACTGCGCGGCGCAGATACGAGGGACGACGCCGCGGTACACCGTAAACAAAGCTGATGTTTTTTAAGTGCCACTACACCCGGAAAGAAAAAATTGCGGGAGGGGAAAGGGAAAGTTGCGAGGAGACGCTCGTACAGGCTACATCTGCTTACATCTGCTTACGTCTGCTTGTTTGTTTTGAAAAAAAAGCGGGTGCGAATATGTACACAACAGTGCTCTTTCAATTTCAAGGACAAATAATCGGAAGGTCTATGAGTGTGGACATCGAGGACCTCAAAGGCCAAAGACATAACAAAAAAAGGCAAAGAGAAAGAAAAAAAGGAGGTGACATGAAAAAAAAAAACACCATATGATACATACGAAAAGACGAAAAGGGAAAGGCAAAGAAACAAGGAAGGGCAAAAAAAAAAAAGGTACAGCAGTAGAAATCGGCGACATGAGGGCATTTTTGAAAAATGGCGGGGAAAAACAACGTTCGAGAGGAAATTGCCAGGCATGTCGTGTACTCTACCTACCTCCGGAAAGTCTCCTCTGCGTGCGGTTTTCTGGCTTCCGTCGCCTGCAGCTGCCTTAGCCTCCACTTCCTTCCGTTCAGCTTTCACCTTGCGGACCAGCCGTTCCGAGCACTTAAAGCGATCTATCTGCTCATGAAAAATCTTGGCATCCAGCAGCTTGAGGACCTCAACCTTGTCAGCGTTGCTCAGCCGCGCGCGAGAAGCCTTCTTCCCCCCCCCTTTCTCTGTCGGACGTTTAGATGGTCCCGCCCCAGCATCAACCCCAGCTGCGGTCGCTTTGCGCTTGCCAGTCTTAGCAGCGACGCAAGAACTGCAGATGCGGGATGTTTCGAAGTCACCCTCCACGCTGCCGCAAGTGCCATGGAGCCGCCCGCCACATCCTCCCTTGCAGACGTGGCCATGAGGGGCCTTCGGCGTTCTGTTCTGTTGAAGGCACAGTTCACCTTCCGCACACGGCATGGTGCGCCTCTGCGTAGAGCTGTGTTGGACTGCAGCAGCACGGTGTCTGTATTTTGGGAGTGTGGTGGTGTGTGTGCGTGCGTGTGTGAACCGGCACTATTGCGGGCTGACGTGGTGCCCAACCGGCACTATACCAGGCCCGCCCTCAATAGTGCCGTTTGGCACTATTGAGGGCGCTTTCTGTGTGGAGAGATTTTACCGGCACTATACCGGCAGTTGGCACTATTCAACCGGCACTATAGAGGGCCCCCCACTGTACTCCGTTTGTTGCACACAAGAGTAAAGACTCGCAGATCGCTGCGTACGGACGGCACCTGCTCATCATATGCATACATAGGAGCACAACAAAAGCCTCGTTACTGGTTCGTTTGTCCGGTTAACCCGCTGGAGCTGTTCACAGCATCTACTTCTTTGTTGCTTGGCGGGATGAGGCACGACAGGGACACGTGGAGGATGTTCCGCCGATTGCCAGATGCATTCCCGGCAGGCGGGCAAGTATTTTTCACGTGTCAAAACTGTCCGATCGGGAATTCATTTGAATTGATTGCACGTCGTCAGTTGGACTGAACGGACATATCATATGGATACAGCAGTACATACAGTAACAACATCAAGGTTTCCCACGACGCCCTCAAACTCTCCGATCAGGATAATTGATTGCCGCCAGTTGAACTGAACTGACATACATCAAGGTTCTCCCAAGACTTGACACGGATATGTTCTTTTTTTCCGGCTTGCTGCTGTTTGGGTGCTGCAGGGGCAAGATGTCGGGGACGACGCAGCAATCCTCAGGGCGGTCACCGGCCAAGTGACCGCCAGGCTTCGAGCCGAGAAACCCGACCTTCCTAGGTCTTTTTACTGGCACGTCCGGGGGCTCCGGCGTGCTTTCGACAAGGTGGGCGGAAAAACAAAATTCCAGAAAGGGAACGCCAAAATGTTTTTGAAGATTCTCCATTTTTGTTTGTCTCATCATGATGAGAGCGGAGGAAATGGAGATGAACGACAGGTTTTGTTGTTCAAAAATGGGCCCATCAGATGAAATGCTCAACGATCCGATGGGTGCCAAAGGGAGTATCTAAATATACAATCCGCACTGACTGCTCGTTCAAAAAAACAAAATGCGAGACAGCGTATTCTAGACTACTGGATGTAGGCGTATTACGGCAGTACATGCTTATAAAAGTAAGTAGCAGTAACGAGAGGGACGAACGAGTATTGTTCCACAGCCACAAGGTGCAGTAGTATCCATCTGTATCCGCACGGGCAATGACACAAACAAGTCTGTGCCTGAAACACCGATTTCCTGCCGCCCTGTATTATTCCGCACGCAAAGAAGCCTACTCTCGAGACTGTAGGCTGTAGACGACAAGATTTACCCCGCCCCGCCCCCCCCGGTGTTTGCCATCGGGGTTGGGTTTTCGTCGCTTGGCAACGACGTTGTAAAAAAAGCCCCCCGCTCGGTGTTTGCCATCGGGATTGGGTTTTCGTCGCTTGGCAACGACGTTGTGAAACAAGCCAATTCACTTCGTGAACTCGGCAACCAGGTTACAGTTTTTTTTTTTACCTCGGTTTTTTTTTTGGCGGTAACCATAATGGTGGTCGAGTAGATCATGTTGTGCGGGGTGGAGAAACCTCACTCCGCGCAACGGGCGATGATCGCACCACGTTGTGTTAAAATGGTCAAGCATCCTCGAGGCAGTTACACAGTGCTTACAACTGTCTCTGGAAGAAAAAGCACCAGAAAATAAACTAAGTCATACGTAGCTGTCATCCGTACGCAAAGAAGTAAGCACAAGATGCCGAACACCCTTAGCAGGATGCAGCTCACCCTTCATGCGACTCGCCAAATACCTCACGGCGCTTCGCGCTTGGTGATGTGAGAGCCTGGTCCGGTGAGAACCCGGCGAGCTCCGTCCCGGCTTTGTAGGGATGCGAGGTCAATGGTCTAACGACTACGGCATGCACGACTATGAGTACACCCCCCCCCCCCCCGCCCCCTCGAAATGGTGTTCTTTCGTTGTCCAGGGCCCAAAGCGGGGGGTGGGAGAAGTGACGCAGGCCATGAAGGCCACCGACGAAGTGGACATTGAGCTTCTTCGCTCCCTCACGGAGGTAGCGATGACGAAGGGCTTCCGCGGCGGGAAGCTGGAGGAGGTAATTGCCGTGGTGGCGCAGTACGACCGCCAGCAGGCTGCCGTGGCGATGATGAGGTGCGAGGGCAGTGTCACGTTGGTTTTTTTTTTTACCCTTCCTTCGATTTGGTCACTTCTCCGACCATCAAAGTCCACGATTGATTATTAGATCGTGCTGTTTTCCAAGGCTGGACAGGGGAATCCAAAATGCCCCCCCCCCCCCCCCTCTCCGGGTTTGCCCTCCGGATTGGGTTTTCCTCCCTTGGCAACCACCTTGTAAAACAAGCCACCCACTCGGTGTTTGCCATCGGGATTGGGTTTTCGTTGCTTGGCAACGACGTTGGAAAACAAACCAATTCACTTCGTGAACTCGGCAACCAGGTTACCGTTTTTTTATTTTTTACATCTTTTTTTTTTTTTCGGCGGTAACCATAATGGTGGTCGAGTAGATCATGTTGTGCGGGGTCGAGAAACCTCACTCCGCGCAACGGGGGATGATCGTACCACGTTGTGTTAAAATGGTCAAGCTTCCTCGAGGCAGTTACACAGTGCTTACAACTGTCTCTGGAAGTGAAAGCACCAGAAAATAAATTAAGTCATACGTAGCTGTCATCCGTACGCAAGGAAGTAAGCACAAGATGCCGAACACCCTTAGCAGGATGCAGCTCACCCTTCATGCGACTCGCCAAATACCTCACGGCGCTTCGCGCTTGGTGATGTGAGAGCCTGGTCCGGTGAGAACCCGGCGTGCTCCGTCCCGGCT